ATTTACGTACACGACACATACATTAACGAAATTATGCTATTATTTGCTTATTATTATATAGCATGTCATGCACTAACTTTACAGTTTAAAACGATGTCTAATAAATTACAAGGAAATTAATATATACTTTATTCGGAAAAGCATGTACTGAACTTTGTACAGCAACGAGAAACGCTAACAACGAGAAGCGCTAACAAGTTTACATAATAAGAAAACATAATAATCAAACGAATGTTTAATTTAATTTAGTGATATGTGCTGTGACGATGATATATATCGACGCCGTTGATACTTTATTATTCCCAACATCGATAGAAATCGATAGTCATTATATATTTTTAATATTTTCTTGCCGGGAGCGTTTCTAGCTGTATCTTTCTTATGATTGTTCATTCATCGAAAAAGCGGGAACGTGTTCAAAGCAGAAGTGGCATTTTCAGAGCTTTACATTTCATATAGTTCAATAAAGAGGATTTTTCCTTTAATATATTTTTTTACGCAATTAATAAAAGAATGTTAGGATAGTTAAAAAGAATATTAAAAAAGATAAGTTTAAGGTTAACACACGTTATTTGTTATATTATTATTTTTTTATTTATTATTTTAATAAATAATTCAAACTTGAATTACCAAAGATGCGATAAATAAATGCAACTTATGACTTTGAAAAATCTTGAGTTTACAATACATTGCTAATAGGTTTAGACACAATGAAGTTGGAAGCTCACGAAATTGGCAAAATTGAAAGTCATTACCGAGCAACTTTTGCAATAATAATATTATTAAAAATATAGTAAAGAACACTTAATAATAATAATAATAATAATAATAGTATTGAAAGCAGAATCTCGATCTACAGATTCACATCGCGAGCGATCATCTCGACATTATCGAGTAGCCTGACAACGAGAGTCAATGTAAACAGTTTTTGTTGCTCGACTCAATAATAGGCGGTATCGACGATTCCTTCTGGATTCCTTCTGAAATCGTCGATGAGGAATCTGAAGGACTGATCGAGAATTGTCTTGACGGTTATATAAGTCACCTTGCGAAAGAAAGTGTGCGCTCTTCTTACGACTCTTCTTATGAGACTTCTTGCGACTTCTTGCGGGTCGCTTACAATTTCCGCGTAGAACTGGAGCTCGCGAATAACGTCAGTGTACGGCTTTGTAAAAGAACGATTAAATACAAATTTTCAACTTCTCACTCTGAGTACGCGTCGATATACCTCTTTGCTCTTTCCGATATTCCACTGCAATATACAGGGTGCACGATTTATCTGAAGACATTGAAATATCTCGAGAACTATGCATTGGATAAAAAAAGTGGTTAATGAAAGTTGTTAGTCTCGAAGGGGGACATCCACTGATACCAAACTCGACCTCCACCCCACCCCCTGGGGTGGGGATTGGGGCAACTTTGAAATCTTAAATAGAAATCCCCATTTTTTATTGCAGATACGGATTCTACGCCACAAAATACGTAAATTTTGTCCGAAACTTTTTTTTTGATTCGTGATAGATGACGCTGTAATCGCAAAAAATTATATTTTCCGCAATTCTCCAGAAATGATCATTGGATTGAGAAATAAAAAATACCTGTTCAATATTTTTAAAGAACATAATAAAAGTTATCCCCCCCATCCTCTCGGGGTAGGTGGGTGATACTTCAAATCTCAAATGGGGACCCACATTTTTCATTGCAGAATAGATTGTACGTGAAATTTTTATTGAAACAATTTTTTTCATTGAAACAATTTTTTATAATAAGCCGTAGTTCGCCATACACCCACAGTGGCGCGTCGAGCAGTTCCTCTTCGATTCGGGTTCCCATTTGAGATTTGAACGTTACCACCATACCCCGAGAGGATGGGGGGAATAACTTTTTTATGTTCTTTAAAAATATTGAACAGGTATTTTTTATTTCTCAATCCAATGATATTTCTGGAGAATTGCGGAAAATATAATTTTTTGCGATTACAGCGCCATCTATCACGAATAAAAAAAAAGTTTCGGACAAAATTTAGTATTTTGTGGCGTAGAATCCGTATTGCAATAAAAAATGGGGTTTCTATTTAAGATTTCAAAGTTGCCCCAACCCCCACCCCCAGAGGGTGGGGTGGGAGGTCGAGTTTGGTATCATTGGATGTCCCCCTTCGAGACTAACAACTTTCATTAACCACTTTTTTTTATCCAATGCTAGTTCTCGAGATATTTCAATGTCTTCAGATAAATCGTGCACCCTGTATAATAAAATTACTTAATAAGTCTGTCAGTAGTAATGACTTATAATTTTGACAATGTAGTTAGCTCAACTTCATTGTATCTAAATGGTTTGGAATTCACTGTATGTATATCAGATTCACTTTTCAATATTTAGTGAAAATTCTCATTTGATGATTCAGAATCTCAATAATTCAGAATGATTCAGAATGATTCAGAAAAATCATTCTATATGAGTGGAAAGTTATTAAAAATTATTGCACATAACTGAAAAAAGTTTGAGTGACTCGGTGATGACTTATTTTCTTTTTTTATTTTTTTATTATATTTCACTCAAAGAAATTTTGTGAACGGCGTATCGAAAGGATAAAAGTTGCAGCATATAATAACTCGAAAAATAACTCGTTCATCGACGTCGAAACAATGTCGAATCGCCATCGAAACCGTCAAGTCGACGTCCATTCGACATTGTTTCGATGTCGATCGATGACTTATTTCTCGCTGAGATTAAATGCATTACGTATTCTCTATGTTTTGCGACGATTTCTCGCGTCAATTACCGTCGGCTTTCTGACCCAGCTCGAAAGCTAATGTTTGAACGTTGGGCGCCAGGTACGGCAATCCTATAATAAGTATAATTCGCGAAATGGGTCGCCAACGCTAAAATTTTCCGCTAATTTCCGAAAAAAAAGAAACCTTCCCGTGATCGATTGTCCGCACGAGATCGGTTGCTCTTACATATTTTGAATCGGAGAAGGAATTATCCGAAGGGAGTCGATTTTGGGCAAAAGATCTGCACGCCAATTTTGAGAGAGCTAACAAGTTTTATTTTGCGCTGGCGGTAGTAATACAAGAGTACAGGAGAAACCGTAATACGAACAATCTCTTTGGTCTCGTTATATTTCTCTAATGTAATATTCGAAATTATTTGCTAAATGGAGACGATCTTCAAGGGCTATATTTATTTACTTCCTATTGCCGCTTCAATTCGTCCGGCGGGACTACCGACTGACACGGTTGCGATGCTCACCTTGAGAGATCTTGACATCATAATAACTGTGAGATTTAATTAATAAAAAGTTTTTATCAAAAAAACTTTTCTATATATAATATTTTTATATGCTAACAATATATTTATATTATTAAAATTATAATGTATATGTAATTATAATGTAATTATTATGTAAAATTATAATGTATATTATTAAAATTATAATGTATCAATAGATTTCACATCACCTAAGAGGTACTATTGCCGATGCGTTTTTTTTTAAGTGGTATCCCCAATAGGCCTATTCCACTAAAGAAGCACTTCAATTAACTTTTAAACTTCATTCTACAATTTAATTTATATTATTAAATATTTTTTAAAATATATTATATTATAAGATATTTTAAATATTAAAATATATAATATTATAATATATTTTATATTATATTTCTTACTGTATTTATAAAATCAATATTCAAAGAAAATGTTCAGTATTCAAAGAAAAATGTTTAATAAATAAAATTTTATTTTCGTTGACACATTTATAAATATAACGCAAAGATCGCAATCACAGTTGAAACAATTGCATAAATCTAAGACTAGCAAATGTTATCACGGGGAAATCTACAGGTAGACCTCCTTAAAAAATTGTAAGTATATATTGACGTCCCTTTTCCTCACCTTTTTAATATCGAGACGTCTTATTGTTTGTACTATTGTACTATGTACTAATTAACGAAAATCATTGTTATATTTTAGTGTTATGTGTCTTATATGTAACGGCATTCGTTTGTATCCTGTTTTACAATTATGTTGAATACCGTGTGTCAACGTTTAATGCGATTCACTTGTATGCATTTCCTTATAATTTTTCATCATCATTAGTATCTTTTAGGATGTCATTGGTAATAAGAAATTATATATGATTTCTCAATTGCATAGCATGATTGCATTAAAACCTTTTTTTTCCGTGATACATTTGCTAGTCTATGTGATTCATGCAATTATTTCAACTGTGAGTGCGATCTTGCATTACATTGAGAAAACATATTTCTTTTTCTCTTTACTAAAAAGTAATACTTATAGTAGATACATGATTTGCATACTTGTAACACTCTATACATGTATAGAGGTATATTTTAAATACAACATCATGATACTATGCTGTAATATTACTTCACACAATGACGGATATATAAGATACAAATAATAACAAAATAAAGAAAGAAAATCGTACATTTCCTAGTTTTCGTAATTATGAATACGTTCGCGAAATTTGAACATTTGTGCTTCTTTTGTACAATTTTATACGTTCTATGTTACTTATTTTCTTTATTTTATTAAAACGTATTTTATTTTATTTGATATGTTTGTCCTTTATAAGTTTTCCTTTATAAATCTTTTTATTTATTCGATAAATTTTTTAATTTTCTATTGAATATATTATTTGCTTTTATACTACCGTTATTATATCGTGTGCGGGAATATATCTTAACAGTCATTAAAAATTTTAACAGTCTTAACTATATCTTAACAGTATCTTAACTATATCTAACTATATCTTAACTATATCTTAACAGTCATTAAAAATTTTAATGCCTGCATACGATGATTGTAACACTTTTTATGAATGTCAAACCATTCAGCATGCATTTTATTAGTGGCATGTATACCTTCATTTATCATTTTTTCAAGAAGTTGTATGGGTGCCCAGTGATGTTGCCACGAACGATTAAAAGCCATTAACTGTGTTTTAATGATATTTATAAAAAGATTTGTTGGTCGAACTAATTTCGTGACATCGGCGCATCTTCGCCTGCATTAGGATATTCCCGATATTCGATATATTTTTCATTAGCTGTTATGTCTTCCATTAGTGTTTTTAACATTATTTGACGACAATAGTTACAATCATTTTTTTCAATACATCGTCGTGCTACATATCCTGCAAAGAATGTAATAGCATTTTCATCATAATTACTTATTATATTCATATTTTCAATGTCTACATCATCGTATTCCTCTACAATTTCTGCATGTTTATCGAACAATTCTGTTTCTAAATCAACATCATCATCAACAACAACAGCGTCAGTATTATTAACACTTATGCAATGTTCAATCGTTTTCATGAGATGATTCGGCTGATTAATAAGAGCCTCACTTTCAGAACATTGAACGTTGCCCTTATCGCTTGCCAGAATGTAACCCGTAGAAAGAATAACAGACAGTCGTACCATTCTTGCGGTTGGATTAGGATTAAATCTTCCGCATTGTCGAAGTTTTGAAAACAAATGTTCCACTGAATCTTGATTACATAAACCTGTTGCAAGTTCAAACTTATCATATTTACGTGAAAGTATCTTATACAAAGTAAGAATAGCTTGTGTTGTAATCACGAAACCTTTGAAGCATGGAACTTGAAATACTTTATTCGGAAATTTTGACCATCCTGAACACCACTGCACAAAATTAGTCAAAAGTATTTCAATATCAGGATTTTTTTGGGATAATGGCCGTTTTCCACCAAATTTAACTTTAAGGCTATAAGAATTGCAAGCATCTATTACGTTATTCATATATTCAGCAAAATCAGCCGTAGCTTTCCATGTATTAGAATCTAATTCTTTTTCGTCACCGGCTATTTTAATTGCAGCTGCGAATTTATTACTAAATAATTGAAACGCTCTTTTCACGTTCATTGCTTCAAAACTATTTGGACGAATGTGTGCCTCTATTATATGGGATAATAAATTTGAGCCTCCTTTTGTAGCATTATCGATACACCACATCTTAATAAAATCTGAATATGATGCAATTATTTCCCCGTTGCAATATATCTTATCATGTGTTCTAAGGAAACTAGCTAATCTTTTAACTAAGTGCGGGAAGTCGAAGGAAGCATAATAGTTTTTATTTTTATATATAAAAAATGGTGTTTGTACTTCAACACCGAGTTGACTAAACGCAGCTTGATTGTGTACACCTTGATCACATGTCACGAGTTGCACATCAGCACCTGTTTCATTTAATTTGTCTAAACATATCTTCACTAATTCAACTATTTCCTTTGATTTTAAAGCATTTCAACAAGGAAATACGCTAAAGGTTGTCGCCACGGATGATGTGCATTAAAACTATCAAGGCAAAGCACAAATACGCACTTAGCTCTTTCGTTTCTTCTACCTAGCGGTCCTAGATCGACAAGACCTTCTATTTCATCTAATTTTAAAGAATATTCCTTATAACCTTATAACCTTTTATATACATTTCATCCCATTTTAAGGCACACACTCGTTCTTCCTGAGGTATTTGCGATATTTTTTCTTTTAATTTTTTAAATAAAAATCGTAAATCCCGGTTTTATATCATACTCTTCTAACCATCTTCTAACTGTTCGCTGTCCGGGAAAATTGCAACCTGCTTTCTTTAAGCGACAAAATGCTGACGCTGAATAATAATATAATTGCTTAGAAAGCATTTTTCTTCCTCTTGTAACGGCCGAACTCCGCGGTTCGGTCGTCGCTTTCGCGTTTCGCGCGGATAATGCTCGTCGGAGTCCGGGTTCGAGGAGGAGTAAAGCAGCGAGACACTTGAAAATGGCAATAGAAATAACTTAGCTTTATTCTATGCTTACTGAGATACAAGAGTTCGGTCCCGAAGGCGTTGTCGCGGGCCGCGTCTATTAGGCGCGTCGGTACGGTACGGTGCGGTGCGGTGAGCGGTACAAGCGCGCGTACGGACGGATAGGCCGCGCGGAAGGCGGGGCCTATTGCGCGACGCGTGTAGACGGTAACGACGGTAACGGCGCGGTGATCGGTCTCGCTTCGCGACGCTGGGCGTCTCGGACAATTATCGCCCAATACTCGTCTCGCAATCGCTCGCGTATAGATGGTCACCGGACCGGAGATTTCGATTCTCGGACGAACGCACGCACGCATGTCGCGGAATACGCGAAATGATTTCGTCCGTCGAGGACTCTCGACAGAGAAGGCGTATGCACCTTCCCTTTTCCCTACGTTCGCGGAGGAAAGTGACCAAGTGCTGCGGACACTCAGCGGAGACGGCGGACGCACCGTCCCGGGTTCTTGGTCGCTAGACGGATCGCCTAAAGGCTGAGTACGCTCAGCGGAGTTCGCCGACGGACGAACCCCTGACTCAAGGCGGCGGGTAAAGGCGAGAGACTGTCGAGTACGCTCGACTGAGCACGCGCACGCACGAGCTTAGGAAGACGGGAGACGGCCAAGTATCGAGTACGCTCGATCGAGACTGCGGACGCACAATCCCGTGTTCTTAGTCGCCGGTCGGGTAGTCAGAATACGGAAAGCAGAGCGAAACGGTCCGGATATTCTCTCTTTCGGCATACAAGCGTCTAGATTGAATCGGCGGTACGGATCGGTCTGGTGTCTAGAAGCTCGATCGCCGCCGTTTTATAGTTGATCGCGCTACAATTGATACGGCGGCAATCGAGCGGCGCGCCTATCGGCGCGAGGCACGGCGACGGCGCGTGATCGCGGCCGCGCGCGCTAGCGGCAGCGCGTGATCGCCGCGGCGCGCGATAGCGGCGGCGCGAGATAGCGGCGGCGCGATCGTTTCGATAGCTTAAGGTGGCGCAAAGCGCCGTTCTTCGGCCCGACAGGTGGTCGGTCGGGCCGGTAGTAACGAGGTGCATCTGCGCCTCGTTACACTCTGTATATTGTGTGCGCGGAATATGCAGTTGCAAATGTATCATACTTTTTGCAACAGGATTAAGTTTTTGTTTATTTATCAAATTCTTTAATATTTGTTTTTCCGACTTTTGACTTTTACATTTTTCACGCGCTTGTGTCATATATCGCAACTGATAATTTAAACGTTTAATTTTTTTTCGTAAATTAAGATTTTCTATTCTTAAACCTTGATAATTAAATCTGGATTGTTATCTGGATTTTCTTTACTTTGCATGCATTTTTCCTTACGTTTCACATTCTCACGTGTGTGTGGTTCTGGTTCCAAATGCATCCATTCCATGACATCTTCCTCTTCTGCAGTAATGTCGAAAAGTACAGTTCCAGATCCATATGTTCGTACTGCAGACTGTTGAAGTTCTTCTTTTTCTAATATAATATTTTGGTGATTGGGTAAAGATAATTCTGCAACGTCCCTTTGTACCTCTCTTATTTCTATATTATCTTTATGTGCAGAAGAGGCATCTTTGTCGTACGGAATTGGTACGGCATCTCTACACAATTTTATTTTTTCTGGGTTTTTAAAGGACGTCACAACAAAATGATCTTCGCACAATCCCGCAGCTCGAAGGGTATTCGGAGACCATGTCTCCAACTAGTATTTCCTGTAACAAAAAATAAAAAACAAGCGAATACGCGTTTATTTCTGACTTCCGTAGCAAGAAATTTGTATATGTATTCCAATAGAATAATTGTGTATTATATACAGTAAGCATCATGAAATGAAGAATTTTATGATGGTTGCACTAAGATATTTGGCATCAAGTCATGGTTTCGTCTGAATATAATTTGAAAATAATATTTGTTCTAAATATCATATTACACATTTCCAATTTAGGATTTTTTTTTCTTTGGATATCATTATATCAATTATTTTTATATTTAATAATTAATAATAAAGCATTTAATATTTAATAATGAAATCATAACTGTCAGTTTTTCATACTACAAAGCAACAATCACATTTTTCAATATTTAGAGCATTTTCAGACAAAAAATTGCAATTGGGAAATTATGAAATAACTTTAATAAAATAAGAAAAAGAATTATAGGTGAATGTTATATAAATATTTCAATAATCTTTGTATTTATTAACGTTTTATTACATTATTTTTAAAAACCAACTTAATTTTTTACTGAAAAATTATAAGTACTGTACAGGGTGTCCCGAAATTAAATGTCAAAACTTCAAAAGCGTGTAGAGGATCGATAAAGTAAGATAAAAGTCCTTTACAGATTTGCTCGTTTTAACTTCCTTGTGAAGAAAATCACAAGAAAACAAAAAAGTGTTTATTTAATATTTACACTTATTCTTTTTTTAATTTGTTTACACTTATTTATTGCTTTACTTAGTAAATAGATTGTTCAAAATGTTGACCTTTTGCAGCAATGCAAACATTGCATCTATTACTGACAGCTTGTATTGCAGCCAAACACTAATCTTATGATATTTGATGCACAGCAGCCACGATTCGATTTCTTAGCTTAGCCCCCCACACAAAGAAATCCATAGATGTTAGATCGAGTAATTGTGATGGCCAAGATATAAAACCTCAACGTTCAATCATTGTCAAAAAATCTAAAATAAGTTTTATCTGAAATAAAATTTCAGTGAAATCTTGCTTCCACTGATGAGAAATAATAAAATATAAATGGAACAAAAGAAAGAGATTTGTGTGCAGTGACACAGTCAGTATTTGCAAACTGCATCAATAACATGAACAATCGCTGTTATTCACTGATTCTTTTAGCGAAATTTTTTGCAGTGCTATATTTAGAGCAAAAGCTTCTATTACAACTATAATGTTTCAATAAAAATGCACTGATTATATTTTAAAGAGTATCGCGCGGATTGTGAGAATTTTGTGGTACTGAGATTTAGAATGCAACGTTGTTAAAATAATATGTAATATTAGAATGATAATAAGCCGAACAGTTGCAATTACAAGGTATCAAACTTTTTTACCATTTCAAAATTGAAACAGCAAAAAACGGTGAAATATTCCTTTTACTGATACAATAAAAAACATTTTTACTGATTCACTTTAAGAGAATACATATACGAATCTGCCTTTCTTTAAAAAAAAGGACGTTAATATATGAAACAGTAAGATCCCTGCGAGGAATGATTCGTCGATCGACATCGAAAGCCACATAACACAAGATCTCCAAGGAATATGCTAGAGACTTTACGAAGTTTGGAAGACGTTTGGAAGTCTTCAGATTTCTTTCGGACGTTCTTAGGACGTAAAACATC